AAAATTTGACTCTGCTTTGATCTATTTACTTTGGGGCTTGCCTAATAACTAAACAGAGCCCTTATAGCCCAGCTAGATATGCCATGAGCAGCGCTTAAAACAACTAAGTGCAGCATTTCTAAGCATGCAATAGATTTAAAGCAAACACAAATACGCCACACCAGCTCTTCCCCGTTCCGTGCAACAAGCTATTTGCACAGATGCCTGACTATAATAACAACAGCAACAACTACGTCTATATATCTACATGCCAACACTACAGTCCAGACTACAAACAGCCAGATTAAATCCTTTCAAAATAACTACGCCAACGAGTAGCATATGCAAATGCCCGGCTACAGCAACTTTTTGCATTACTCAGATTGCCAGCGACTGCCACTCCTTCGCCGATTTGGCAGCCCGAAAAGTTTTTGGCTTCCAGCTCATTTGTTGGTGACGCCACGCAGCATGGTAAAATACGAATAGGATGCATTCAGCAGACTCTGAAACATGGCCAAAGTCATGGGATAAACGTTGCCCACTTTTATCTGAAAGGGAAACCAGAAACAAGAAACGAGAAACGAGAAACGAGACATGAAATGGAGCGCACACACAAAAGCCACGATTAGAATCTGCCAAATGAAATGCAAGCGAATTCTCAATACGGCAAGCCCCTTCCACTCACCACCAAAGGCCTTTGCGTTTGCATTAGAAAGATCAGAAGGGTTTGGCGAAAGCGCAGGCTGCACTCCATCCAGGGCACATTGTAAGCCGCCTGCGTAACCCGCGAGCACTGCAAAAAAAAAAAAAGGATAAAAAAAGAGAAAAAGGCAGGCCTTTGAATGTGAGCCGCCAATTGAAGCGGCACGCACCTCAATGACCAAATCGTTGGCGCGATTGTAATAGGTGAAGAGCACATAGAGCATGGTTAGGATGTACATGACTATGGAGATCATCTGGGTGCGCGAGGTGATCTGTGTATATATAAGACAGAGTTCTATTACAGACCGAAGGAATATTCTCAATGGGACTTAACAATATTCAGGCAAAAGAGCAGCGAGCAAATAATTGAGCCAAAGATAATCGCCTCAACGCCCACAATATAGGTGACCAGTGTTGTAAGCTTGCGCACATAACTGCAATGGAGTTTACAATGAGCCTGTCACAGCTAACAGGTACAGTACGAGCTACACGCACCCGGCCACAGTGATATGAATGCGTATGCAGTCAGTCAGCATTTGATAGCGTTGCTCCTCATCCTGCAGCTGCTCGATGCAGGCCAGCTTGTGGGCCAGTATCTGCAGCATGGCCTTGCCGAAAAGCGCAAAGGCGGCGAACAGGCTCACGAAGGGCATATACATCATGGAGAGCACCACGGGCGTGGGCACCTGCAGCACATAGACTATCTGATAGATGGGCGTGCGCTGCATATCCCATCCCGGCAAGGAAACCCCGAACGGATGCGCTGCAGCCAAATGAAATTGGAAAGTTATAATCTAACAAACATTATCCGCTTACTGCGCTGCTCCAGGAACATGGCTAAGATAACTGCGCCCGCAACATCCAGAAAGGAGGCCGTCAAATTGAATATAGCCAGGCGACGTGCCTCGTGCACCGCCGCCGCCAGCAAACGATGGCTGCACTCATCGCTCGACGCCTCAATCTGGCGATACAGCACCGCCAGCTCGTCGAGGAACTGCTCGAATTCGAGGCGCTTGAACATGACCAGCAGCGTGCGCATTAGGGCATTGAATATGGCCGAAAAGAAGAAGAGATTGAGTATAAAGGCTGGCAGATCGCCCCACATGCGCAGCAGAAAGAAGAACTGCATCAGGTTCATCAGGCAAACGGGCAGCACAAACGCGTACTTCCGCCAATTGTTCCCCGGCGTCGGATAGAGCACCGCCACCCGACGCCAAATGTTCACATTGATGGCCACCAAAGCAATATCCTTCGCACTTTGCTCCATCTTCAAAATCGCTCTCTCCTTTTTCCGGCTTGGGCGCACTCGAGTCTGGCCTGGGCCACTTGATACTGTGGCCACAAAGTGCTGGGCAAATGTCTTTTATTGGCGCCTGCTTAGCACTCGCACTTGTCCTTGGCCAATGGGCGTGGCTCTTAGCCTATAATTTGCCAAATTGCCGGCACGACAATTGACTGTGATGCAAGTGCTAAAAGCAAAGGGCTGAATTTCCATTTTGTGACGGTTAGTTGGCCAATTGTAAATGTGATTGCAGCTGGCACATCTATCAAAATATATTCAATTCCAATGTCCCGTGCAGTCGGCTGGACAGCAGGATAATTGGATAATTATATAATTAATTTGTAGCTAATAGAAAATGCATCCTTGAGACTTGGCCACAGTTAAGCCGGCTGGGAAAAATGATATAAGCCCAGAACATGAATACTTTAGGGCATCGTCTCCTTTACAAAATACCTCTATAATGCCCAGGCATAATAATATATCATCATACAGCTTCTATAGGAAAAAGGTTTTGTGTAAATATCTATAAATTATATTCCCTAAGGATTAACGTTAAATTTGCCTTGAATGTGCAAATACCTATTTAAATTAAGCATCGATTTTTCGGCACAAAAATGTGCCAGGCTTCGGCTAGCACATCCAGTCGAAAAGCTAACGAGGCGATAACGTGGCCAGCAGCAATCGGGCCGTGGGCCCGGGCATGACTTATTAAACAATAAAACCGGATTATCCGCAAACAACTGAGCAAACATGGCCGGAACCAAATATTTGGAACCGGGCCGTGGACAGCGGCCAGAGACAACAGCAAAAGTAAACAGAAAAAAAAGGTGGATAAAAAAGAAAAAAAACAATATAAAAATCAACAAGCGGCTGGCATAACATAATTCAGCAACAATGCCAGCTCAGCAAATACGGCGGGGAATTAAAATAAGACCTGTGCCGAGGAACAGAAGCCGTGTGCCGAGGACCGAGGACCGAGCCCATAAAGGCACACATTATGGCCACTTAACCGCGCGTTATGCCGCAAAAAGGCAAGGGACAAAGCCAAAGGCTCAAGCCGGCTAGTCCTTGCCCGAGTGTCCTGTGTATGTGTGTGTGCGATTGTGTTGTGCCGGCGTCTGTGGCGTATGCGCAATATTTTGTGCAAACATGGGCAATATCAAAGCCCAGGCAAGGCCAGGCCAGGCCGCAGCCGCACCCTACCCTACCCTACCCCCAACCCTTGGCAAATATGCAATGTCAGTTCCAGCTGCTCAGGCGAGGCGCTGCACATAAATCAAATGGAAATATCTGGTCCAAAAATGCATTTCGGGAGAACGCAGCAGCAGCTCGGTACCAAATTTATTATAAATTAAAAGCTAAGCCCCTGCAAATGGACGACATTTAATTATCACATTTTGTGCAGCAAGTCCTTGCGAACAATGGCGCACACATCAAAGCCGAGCACACACACTCGCACACACACACACATCCTTTGTCCTGTCGAGTGCCTGTTAGCCCCGTAAACCACAGGATGACATTAATTACGTGTACTTTTACTTTGGCCTCGGCTACCATTTGCAGCTCAACTTCCATAAAATTAATATCAAGCAATTAACAACAGATTCCGGCGGCGGGCGATGTGATTTAAACAAGTCGTCGGCCCCCCACCCCTGCTGTACAATATTGTGTGGGCGTGTCAATATTGACTTTTACACATTGATAGTGGGCGATTTCTAAGCAGCTTTTGCCAATTAAGCAGCTCACTGTAGCTTAGCTCAAGAGAGAGAGCCGGAATTGCCTTGAAATGTGAAATTGCTAAGCCTCTAATTTGGCATTTGTTTATTGTTAAGTGTAAGTCCAAGACTAGAGCTGGGCGTAGTTCGTGTTCTCTCGGGAGACAGGCTCACGCAAAACTGAACACGAGTTGTACGTGCTGCAAAATTGTATTTCGTGCGTGCTCTGTTGAGAACAATAGCAAGAAAACACAAGTTAAGCACGACTTAACAAGACTCAGGCACGACTTAACACGCATTAGGCAAGAACTAACACGATTTTGACGCAACCAGACACGACTTGGGCACGAACTAACACGATTTGGGCGCAACCACACACGACTTAGGCACGATCTAACTCAACTTAGGCACGATTCAACAGAAGCAGGCACGAATTTGCATAGTCTTAGAAGATTACAGATTAACTATAGATAAATATCGTTATTTTTATATTTTTACATATATTTCATATAAGTCGTGCGTCTTCAAAGCCGCACGCGCCCATCTCTAGCCGTACAGCTTCTTTTGCAGCAGCTGCTCTCAGCCGCTTGTTGCCAAGATTCTTTCTGTTTGGACTCCAACAAGAGACTCAACAAGCGTGGCTAATGCGGCTTAGTTTTGCTAACGATTTGCAAACACGTGTGAGCTAGCCCCAATTCCAATTCCAATTCCAGTTCTAATAGCAACCCCCATCCCCATAAGCAAGAACAACAAAGCAGCATTTGCTTTGATGATATCTAGACATGCTACATTTGAAGCTCGTATGCCGTCATATCCCACTCTGACTTATTCATGTGGGCCGCATATGAGTAAGTCAGCATAAGATAATGCGATGTGATTGTTGTGCGGAGCAAAAACTAAACCAAAGTAATGAATGTACGTACTTCCTATAAGAACGAAACATTATGTATGTATATACGAGCGAGTATTACCCAGCTGTGCCCAAGTTTCTTTTCTTCCTATTTGAGGCTTTACTTTTGTACATGTAGTTTACATATGACATATGCATACTTAAAATAGAGCTTGAGGCAAATCGTATGTTCAACGAAAAAGTTTTAGGCAGCCGTTTTCCGTGAATTTTCCACGCTTCCCGGTGGATTTGCCCAGGGTGATTAAGTAAAAACTAAAGCTAGCAGCTTGAGCTGTGCGTTGCTCAGCAATCACGTCAGCTAGTTTTATATATGTAGACTTTTCTGAAATCAGCTGATTAATCAGTTTATTGTAGATTTAGCATGTTGAAACTTTGAGGTGAAAGAATAAGATATCAAACCAATTCCAAATAAATGTTTCATGAAGTTGGACTGCACTTTAAAAATATAATAAATGAATACGTACACAAGCAAGATAAAGATGAATAATACAAATATTTATTAAAAAACAAGAAAAATATATTTTCAAAATAATATTTCAAAGATTCTATGGGGGCGACATGGCGCTGTCCTCTTAAAAGTTCACTTCATAAACTATGGAACCTTTAGATATATATTTTATACATATATTGTATATAACTATAAAACCTGTTTATCCGGCGCCGTCATAAATTAATTGCTTTAAGTACTTAAAAAAAATTTACTCTTACAGATAAGATATAAAATTGCAGAAAAATAAACAAAGAGTTGGCCTTGTTAAAGCGTGCTAAAAGTAGAACTTGTTTGAGGTACCTTAATAAATAGATTTATATAAATATTTATTCTAGCCAGGAATCGAGTGTGCCCTAAGCCCCGTTGAAGCTATAGATATAATGATTTATATGTAGTATACATATATAAAGTATGAGCTTAATCTATATATACCACATATATAGAAAGTTTGCGTTGCGTTGGACTTTTGTTTATAGAAATTCGCCAGCTCACTTTTCGATATGAAAACATTTATTATTGAATATATTTGTAAATATTTTCTCATTGTTTAACCACAGTCAGAGCGCAAATAGATTACTCACTAAGTGCATTGTCTCATAAGGAACTAAGTACATATATTAATATATATATATATATTTATATATATATATAGTATATAGTGTAAGATTCGTGTAAGAAAGGTCTACTTTGGTGTCAGTGTGCGCGCTCGCTGAGTCAACGAAATCTTTGTGTGATCCGCATACCAAAGACAGAGACGAGGTCTGGCGCCAGGCTAAGGCAGGTTGCAGCCCACCTGGGTGACCACCTTGGCGGCCACTTGGCTGGCCAGGCGCACGCATTCGCTCAGCGAACGCTTCTCCAGCCAGGCGTGCAGAAAGCCGGCGACAAAGGCATCGCCGGCGCCCGTTGCATCCACCAGCTGCTCGGCGCGCTGTGCCCGGTAATCCTCGAATCTGAGCTCGCCCGGCGGCGACAGCTCTGCCACATAGTTGGTGGCCAGCTGCACGCCCGCCGCGCCGTTGGTGATGAGTATGATCTTGGGCTGGCTGCCGGACTGCAGCAGCTGTTGTGCCAGCTGCTCCACTCTCTGGCAGCCGGCTGTCTTGGCCAGCTCCTCGAACTCCTGGCGATTGCCAAATATTAGAAGCGCACGCCGCGCCAGCTCCAGCATCTTGTCCGAGTGCTGGCGCACTATGTAGGGAGCGCTGAGATTCAGCGCCAGGTAGCGACGCTCCCGCACCAGATGCACCTGTATATAGTCCACGACCTCGCTGCGCTGCGGCAAAAAGAAGCCCTCAATGTAGAGGATTTGCTTGCGTTCAATGGGACGCAGAAAGCTTTGAGTATCGTGGCTGGCGGCACGCTTCAGCTCCTCGACCGAGAAATGCGCCGAGGCGCCCACGTTGGCATACAGCGTGGGATTATCGTTGTGCATGAGGCACACACACTGGCCCGTGGGCACATCCTCGATGATCTGCAGGCGCGCCTCAATGCCGCGATCCAGCAATATGGAGTGCAGCAGCTCGCCGTGCTTATCGGCGCCAATCGCTCCAAAGAACTGGGCATCCGTGCCCAGCTGCTTCAAGATGCGCACCGTATTCAAGGCCGAGCCACCCGGATTGCTCAGGCAGCCGGAGCTGAAACAATTAGCAACTGCTTGAGAATAAGCTCTTACATATATATGTATATCTTTTTTTTGCCAACTTACCTGCTGGCTGCCTCGGTGGCCATGTTGCTCAGCTGCTGCAGATCCATTTCACCCTTGGAGCCCAGCTTCAGCTCGTAGCGCTGCAGCAGCTCCGGCTCCTCCAGCTTGACAATGCGATCCAGCAGCACGTTGCCAAAACAAACCACTTTGCGTGGACTGAGGAAAGCGAAACAAAGTTTGTTTAGTCATTTATTGATTTGAAAAATCCCCAAGGTAACACTCTAATTTTGCCCTCGGCCTTGGCCTGCCCGGAACTTACGTCTGGTAGATGCCCTGCGTGCCGTCTGACAACGTCGCATCGGCTCCGAATATTTTCTCATAGGCGTACTGCAGGTACTCCATTGTATTCCAATTTAAAGCGACGCGACTCTCGTTGAATTTCCCCCGCGATGACGTCGAGTTTTACAGCCGTGCTCCAGTTGAGCGGGTCCGTCACTTCCGTCGGCCAGCGACAAACTGAATGCCCGAGCCGGTTTCGCGTGGTGTATTTATCTCGGCGCTTGGATTCCCATGCTGAGCAATTAGTTTCAGAGCCCTTCGTTTCCCTCGGCTACGCGCTCACCAATAACAACTTTTAAACTTCGTTACGTTATTGTTGTTGTTGTTGTTTGTCATATTTTTAGACTGTTTTTGGTACTGTTTCTTCGACTTCTGTCCCTTTGCGCGCTGCCTGTTACATCATAAAGCTTTCAGTTTTGGTAACACGGTAACACGGTGTTGTACAATGACTCTTTGAAGCGGTCACCTTGTGCAGCTTTCAAAGCTCACATTCAAATATCAAGTATGCGTTAAATTGCTCTATTATGAACTTAATTGCGCGCTATTATAACTCAGTTCCGCAGCGTGCAAAAAAAATGCATCAAATTGTGTTCTTAATCAACACTAGTTGAATCACAATTGACTCAGCTGTTGGTTGTGTTTGTTTACATTGAAGAAGAAGAAGAAGAAGAAACGGCAGCGCATTGCCAAATCGCCGGCAAAACAAGTTCTCTAACTCAAAAGCTTTCGCTCTGGAATGAGCTTTCGTCTGCGCAAAGCGCTGCCAACCTGCTTTAAAAGTAAAAATCCAGTGGAGGGCTTTTTGACTTATAATTTCAAATATGTCGAGGGAATTTATTTGTATAATTCCTTGTGTTTAAGGGTATTTTGCATAGAAGTCTTTTTTTTACAATAATTTGGCTACGTTTTATACGAGAAATATTATTTAGGCTAGTGTACATAAAAATTCCTCTCTCGAAATTTCTTTTTCAATCTATTACTGATGTCTAAATCTTTTTCATTCATTTGTTTGGGAATTACAGTTTTTCGCTGGTTATTTTAAAATGGGAAAGCACTGCATCAAATAAAAAAGTACGACGCTAATAAGATAATAGAAGTGCATTTTAATGTTACAGAACGCTTCTACCCAAATGTAGATAATTTATGATGCAGCAAAAAAAAAAAAGTACCAAACTGTGCGTGAGATAGAAAAGCCGCTGCCTCCCACGGCATTGGGGCTTTGCACAAGGCATTTACCCGTTCTGCTTTGGGTTTTACCCAAGATCAGAAATTCCCCCAATGCATGTGTGTGTGAGTGTGTGCATTTATGGTATTTCTTGCATACACATAATTGCAGGCAGCTTGGCCATGCTTTTGCTCTCTGCGCTCAGCTCTCTCTCTCTCTCATTCTCTTAAGTGTGCACGTGAGCCCAAACGCGACGCACTCAAAGCGTACGCATTGCACAGCATGTATTGGATCGAACTTTGGACCCGCTGCCATTGCGGAATGTATCTCATACCTGTGCTCGTCATTTTCGAGCGCATGTTACGGGGGAATGCGACAAACCTGTTCTGTCAGCCAAGCACCGTCTGGCCGCCGAGTGACAAGACTTTTGACTCATTCCTCTACGCTTGGTCCGCATGACTCAGCACTTGCAGCTCATGTACATCTGCCCGGCGCATTGCCACGCGGTGGCCACTTGTTTATGTGGCAAGAACCAGGTAATAGCCCGTCCCGTAACAATCAGCCAAGTGTCCAACATGCGACTGGGGCATGAGTTGGGCCAACTAATTTGTTATTTTATTGGGCTCAATTTTGTTATTGTCATTATGTTTCAGTTTAGTCAACAACGGGGCGTGGCCGAGGGCCAAGTTCATTGGCCATTATTGAGTCGAAATTGGCGCGCAAATCCGATCGCCTGATACCAGATATTATTGCACTCACCTTTCTTTTACTTGCTTCTTTTTCTTGTCATTTTATGTTTACGTTTTGTTAGCCCATTGCCATTTTGGGCTAACGCAAGCAGAAATATGCAAGCCGTGTTTTCAACAAGTTAACAACATTCATATTTCGTCTTCAGATAGGTCAGTGCTTGGGGGCGAGTCCCCACTTGGCAGCACCCCCCCCCCCCCCCTCCACCCATGGTTGATTAACCTGCTTACTAAACTGTTTTTTTTTTGCCGGGAAGGTTCATTGATATTGTGTTAGCCAACATGTTTTTTGGCATATTCATCTGAAAAGTGAAAAATCAAATTACCAATATTTTGTTTTCGATCTTTTCCAAGAAGTTCATTAAACTCAACATTTTCCGGCTTGGTGCGAAAGCTTAAAATTGCGGCTTCTTCTATTAGCTTGTTTTTTATGCTGTTTCTAGTTGCATTGAGGGGGTGGAGGGGGTATGAGGGGGTGCTTAAGAGCTCTGCACTTAGATATCTGCAAAGAGAGTTCAGTGTTCATTCTCTTAAAGGGCAACAGCCTATGCTTAATCAAGCCCACAAATGAAGGCTTTAACCCCAGCGAGTTGTCGTGCATTCAACCCCTTCACAAATATATATACATACATATATATTTAGATATATTAAGTACATCAATTCGCATAACTCATATGTACACAACATTAAGATTGTTTTTTTTTTCTACGGTTTTTATACCCTGAACCCATTAAAAATGGGTATAAGGGTATATTGTATTTGTGCGAAAGCCAAATGTATGTAACAGGCAGAAGGAAGCATCTCCGACCCCATAAAGTATATATATTCTTGATCAGCATCAATAGCCGAGTCGATCTAGCCATGTCCGTCTGTCTGTCCGTCCGTCCGTCCGTATGTATGAACGCAAGGATCTCAGAACCTATAAGAGCTAGAGACAGCTTGAAATTTTAGATGTAGGTGCTCCTAGTGCCTGCGCAGATCGAGTTTGTTTCCGATAATCGATAATTTACTCCGTTTCGAAGCAATCGATAAAAATCGATATCGATATCCTGTTTTTTGGGCAATTTTGGTAAATAATAAGAGCTAGAGTCACCAAACTTGACATATAGCTTCTAAAATAGAATATATATATATGCATTTGATGTTGGAAGAAGGGGGTTCAGGGTATCCCCTAGTCGGGAGCTCCCGACTAGAACCTCTTACTTGTTATGTACGTGCTTTTGGTCAGGTGGCTATTTGAAGACCACATTTGCGGATCTGCACAAAAACAGAAAACATAGCTCAGCAACCTTTTTTTTGGCTCATCGAAAGCAAAAATATGCTTGCATATCAGTGTAAAATGAAAATAATATGCATTAACAAACCGAAATTTGTTATTTGGGCTTTTGCGCGGCAATTGGAAGGCCCCTAACGGCAAATGGCGCATTGGGCTTATGTATATGTATTGGGTGGGGTTTGCAAATTGATCAAAGAGCTCGGACAATGACAATTGCCAGCCGCGGCAGATGAACCCAATGAATAATTGGATCGGAAACTAAGTCAGGCGACTAACTCATCGCAGATTACATGCCAGATTTGAGCATATATTTTGCTTAGCTGGCAGACGTCCAGATGACGTGTAAAACGGACTGGCAGGGCTTTCATTCACGAAAATTTCAAGCGAAAAACAATAACAAACAGTTAATTGAATCTCATGTGTTTGTCGCGCGCGAACGCGCGTGCTCATTAATTAATTAAATGAGACAGAGAGCGACAGACATCGCGTATACGCAACGTACACCAGGGGGGGCGACTTTGACGTCAGGTCTTGAGGGCATGACTGATAGCTGGTCGAGTTTGTAATATTTATATAAATATATTTATGGGGTTTGAGTTTTGAGTCATTTGCACGACCTGTTGACCATTTGGCCCATAGCCAAGAGCATGGTTGGATTCGCGTGAAAAGCGAGTGGCGAGAATTAGTGAAAACCATTTAAGTGGGCCATAAATTGATATACTCTTGACAGCTGTGCTGAATTTTCCAAAAAATCGGTGACAAAATCGTTTTTGAGGAAAGTGCAAAAACTCATTTTCCAATTCAACGAAAAAACTCATCCAAATCAAGGCAACAGGCTGAGCGTAAAAGTTCAAGCGAGCAATAAACTGTTATATCTACATACATATAAGTATATGCATGTATATGTATATGTGTGCATATACGCACTTTGTGTGAGCGTAAGATGCGCTCAGAGCGAGCACAAAGAGCGGCATTGAAATAGGCTTAAGCTTAAAGGGCAAGGCAAAGCCACAGAAGCAGCAAGACAAAGTTTGCTAATTGCCCAAATTAACGGAAATCTTTGAGCATCCAGCAAAAATCCAAAAGGCATACAAATTTGCTGAGCGCAGCAACAAAATAAAACTTGCTGAAGCTTCAGATTTTGAGCGCGAGTGGAGGTGTTAAGCGAAAATACTTGGAAAAAATATACACTCTCAGACACACAGAGAGAGAGTGAGAGTGAGAGCGAGAGAGGTGGATCGTGTGGGTTGGTATTCACGCCGGCTGGCCTTTGCCAACTGTTGCGTGAGCAGGCCTCCGCAAAAAGCTCCAACAAGAGCGCAAGCAATGCGCTCTTCTTATGAAATACGTTGGCCGCGAGAGCGCAGCTATAAAAGCGTGCGCTCGCCAGTGTCTGGCATTCATTGTGAAATTGCAAATCAAAATTGAAACAAGCACAAAGCAAGACGGTTAAACGGATTTCAAAGCGCGCAGCGTCAACGTGAAAAGAATTTCATAAGCAAAAGTTAATAAAGCGCAAATTGCCAAAAACAAAAAAGATTAAAACCCAATAAACTGACTAACGCTAATCAAACAAGCAACAACAGAGCAGTGCTACCCCAACAAAAACAGACAAAAAGTGTGCGACAACCAAACACACACAAAGTGCAAACAGAAGCTTCGAAAATAGCTCAAGCTTCAGCTCAAGTGACAAGCCCAGAGATTAACACATCCAATATGGTCGTTGAGGAATCAGCCAACATGCATCATTATCACCACAACGACAGCCTCGAGCTGGCCGAGTGCGCCATGCCCATCGGACGTACCGTTAAAACGGCTCTGCTGCGAGCCCAATCAGAATCTCGTGTGATTGTCGGCCTATCGGCGGCCATCAATACGCTGTCCAAGTCGCCGGAGGGTTCACTCTTCTGCCTGATGGCCGTGCCCAAGGCTGGCGATTCGGCCACGCACATGCACGAGGTGCTGCTGGAGGCGTTCTGCTATGAGAACGACATCTATGTTATTAAAGTGGACGATGCCACCAAGCTGAGCCGCATTCTGGGCCAGGAGAGCATCGAGTCATGCTGCCTGGTGCAAAAGACCTGGAGCGGCGAGCAGAGCGAGGAGCAGCTGAACAAGGCCGAGAATCAACTGGTCGACTACTGCGAGGCCCATTGGGATGCACCGCAGCATCCCATTGTCCAGCTGCCGGCTGTATAAATCCTGTTGAGAGTGAGACAGAAGTTGAACACAGCCCGTCACAGTGGGGCAAAAGATGGTTTTAAAGGAAACAAACACAACCAGTTAAGACAAGGTTAATGTACCCGAACGTTTGGAGAGTTCTGCGGAAACCGACGTTGGGACATATCCCAATTATATATATCAACTATATCATATATATACATATGTATAAGTGTATATGGAAGCAGGAGAAGGAGGTGGAGTCGCAGCGAAAGCAAAAGTAGCTGCGACACGATGGTCAATTATCTATTATGCTAGATGCTAGAAGAGAGAGCGAGGCAGGCGACGACAGCGACAACGACCTTCGTTGGAGCAGCGCAGCAACAGGCGAGAATGGAGCAGAACACACAGCAGCAACAACAACGACAACAACAACAACAAACACATGGCTGCTGCGGAAGTGCATGCACTCTCGCTCACTCTCTCTCTCTCTCTTTGATCTGGCAACAATTTCGCAACCAGAGGCAAACCAACACACACACACGCACGCACACATGCGCACACGCTTAAGCGCGTGACCAACTGCTGGTTAATTTTTATTTTTTTTTTGAGCAAAAATATTGATAATGGCGATTTTGTTCACAATGAACAGCTTCATGCCATAAATTTGAATATCAGATTAAAAATAAAAAAAGTAAAAAAAATTGTAATTTGTATTATTAAAGTTTTGTTATGTTAGCTTTTCATATAGCCGGCAGCTACAGAAAAAAATATTAAATAAAAATACAAAAAAAAAATTGTTATTTAATTATAAGCACACAACATTAAAAAAAGAATTTTTTGAAACAAAAAAACAGAAATAAAAAAACTAAAACAAAAGAAAAACAAACTTAAGTCTTATTATTATTATAAAAATGTTCAGCTTTTCAGTTGATTAAGGAGCTCATGCATATTTATGCTTGACGTCAAATGCCTCAAAAATCCCTTAAGTCTCGAAATGTCATCAGTATATTGGGCTTTTTATCAGCGGTATTCCCCCAATGAGCCGCACTCTTATCAATCATATGCACATATAGCACATATACATGCATGTATAGTCGACATCGAGGCAATAAACTCGCCCCGCTGTAAGCGAATGGAGCTCGCAACAAGTTCGCCAGGCCAATTAAACAATTTCGCCTTATATGGGAGACATGGAGACACGTTTCAGCCAGGCAGAGACATGTTAATATAATCAATGCCAGACGGCCAGACAGCGAGACTTCGTGCAATTATATATGGAAAGATTTTGTGCAGAGCTGAAGCAAAATTTCCAACACTAAGCTTGACGCTTAACGGAGTTGCCAAGAGCCAAGAGCGCTGGCATAGGTCAGTTAGCCCACCTGAAACTAGTTAGACACAAATTAATTAGGAAAAAAAAGATACATATATATATGTGTGTATGGAGTACATGTAGATACATTCACTTTTTAAAGATATTTAGATTGTATATAATGTTTGCTGTGCTTCAAAAATTATTAAAAAGTTATATATATCATATATAGAGTTCCCATAAAGCGGACATGATTTGGAAGCAAATTTCCTTTTTATATACATAATTGTATATAATATTTGTTGTGCTCCATAAATTATTAACAACTATTATTTATTGAGCTCAGCTTGTGCTCATATTTTACGTAATCTGACACAATAAACTCTCTCTCTCTCTCTCTCTCTCTCTCTCTCTCTCTCTCTCTCTCTCTCTCTCTCTCTCTCTCTCTCTCTCTCTCTCTCTGTCTCTCTCTCTCTCTCTCAAATAATATAAATATAAATCATAAATAAATTATCTTTGTGTAACACATTTTCTTATTGTTTTATATGTTTTTATTGTTTTGCTTCTTTCAAGAACCCCCTACTTTTTTTTTATTCTATATATTGACTTATTCTGAACAGAACTTCATTATTTCTTTTTGAATATGATAATTATTTGATCAACTTTTACATTGGCATACTAAGATTTCGTTGAATTTGTGTACATTTAAAATTATAGTATGCATTTTATCAACTATATAACTATATCGTAAGTTCCGCAAACTTTTCTATGTACATTAAAAATTAACTATGCGAATCTTGTTATATGTTTATATAAGGCGTAATCGTAACACCCAAACATCTGTCAACTATTTGAGTTACATTTTAGCATAATGCTCATAATTACAAAATTGCAAACTTTAGACAATAGGTTAGCCTAATTAGACCCACTTACGGCCGAGAGTTTGCCTAGTGCAGTACGCTAATCAATCAATTTACAATAGGTATTTGCGGTTCATCGGCCAATTAACTCAGGTGCTGCCACAAAATCGTCAGCCTAGACGTACTTTACACCCGCGACGTTAATTCCAAAGAACACGTCGAGCAAACTTTAAGCCCAAACAAGCTTTCAGCCCGGCCTTTTTGGCCAAGTCATGCCACGTAATGAGTAATATGTTCATTGAGCAGCTCGATTTGGAATTGGTTTAGTGGGGAAATCCTCTAGCCGGAGCTGCTGCATTGAGGGCACGGCCTATGCAAATATGCTCGGGTAGTTCACAATTTACAATAAGCGTGACTTGGCAAAAAGCCTTTGAAGCTCAGCCAAGGCGAACGACCCAAACTGGAGATGATCTGAGTTGAGTTGAGTTGAGTTGCGTTGAGAGTTGGGGGCAAACTCCAATCAGAGACAATGGTGATGTCGTTGAAGGTAATGATTCATATCAATAACGCGCTTTGCCATTTTTGCTGCTAGACCCCAAAATTAGCATATTCTCAAGTCTCAAATGCCCCGTTACCGCAAATGCGCTCCACTTACCTGTTTGCCAGTTGCCAATTTGCCAGTGTGACAACTTTTCAATAATAAAAGCCGGCCAAAACGATGCCCCCTACTTTTCCACATATCCCCATCCCCCACCCCCTCTAGCAGCTGTTCATGTGACTGTCATGAGAGCGTGCTAATTGCCAGGGGAACGATCGGATCTCACATCCCCCAGCCCCCCAGCCGAACGACCCCAACAAGCATAGCTTAAGCCTGGGCCTAGTGCATGTCAACAGAATGGCACAACATACGTAGTTCCCAGTCTAGTTTTTATTGTCTATTTTGATTTGGATTTCCATGTACGCGCACAAACATGTTTTTAGTTGTAAAATGCATAATATTATTTAATAGAAAATCTCATTTGCATGAGCTTCGCTTGAGCCGAACTGTTGACATATTATTCCCCATAAAAACAAATACTATATATAATATAATACATTAAGTACAATAATAAAAAGCCAGGGCTTATCAATTCGCTCAAACATGGATTATATGCCCGACAATGCATTATCGCTGGGAATTTCTGTGGAAATTGTTTTCGAGCATATACAAGAGAGTCTGCGGCACGCGATAACGGAGCTTATTTCGTTTATTAGCCCAGTTTATATACAACAGGGATTCACCGACTACTCAAAAAAGAATAATAATACTTTCAGATATTTCCCAGTAACGTAGCAAGAACTACATTTAAAGGCAGCTTTTGTTTTTCAGTTTTTTTTCGGTCCATAATTAATGTATTTTGGTTTTTGTATCTGACGTCTTTTGGGGTATTAATTGAACTGTTTGTGCCAAGCAGAGATAACTGCCAAAAAATTCCAGAATTTTTATCATATATTTATAGATATATATTTACTGATTTGTTGACAATTATAATTTAGTTAATTGTATTTGATTGAACCGTTCAACCTTTCCACAGCTCCAATAATTGATTAGAGCGTTGACAAAGCTGCGCAATAGGCACGAGACACGAATTGGCTGAAACACGCGAGCGGAAAACATTTCATTGTGAATGGAAACTGTGCGGCTCGAAACAGGTTTACTTACGGCTTGACATAGGTAGAGCAGGGCGCACCTGAGACCTGGCAAATAATAACAAACTTGGGCGAAGCCCACAAACAGTTCTAAACACATACCTAATATTGAAATAATCAATTTTAAAGCTAAAATAAATAATAAATAATATTATCTAGAAGTAGGCTGAATACAAACTGCATTCAGTTTACGATCTAGGGCCTGTTTTACGATATTTATCAGAGCTTAACGATATTTGTCAAATAAATAAGCGTGTTCATTTCTCTTCATCTCTCTTCCACTCAACATAAAGAATTTTCTGCTTCAATTTAAAATATTAAATAAATTAATTTAATCTAGAAGTGGGCTAGGGTCTGTTTTACGATATTTATCTGAGCTTTACGATATTCGTATATGAGTTGCATAATTCGTATGCAATTATTGTCACACTTTATTTATTTATTTATTTTGATTGCCCTTTTCTTTCTCTATTGTAATACAAACTGCATTTAGTTTACGGTCTAGGGCCTGTTTTACGATATTTATCAGATACGATATTACGATATTTGTCAAATAAATAAGCGTGCCTAATCATGAGTTGCACAATTCGCATGCAATTATTGTCAAACTTTATTAAGTTAATTTTCCCTTTCTGAGCATTCGTAATCTTTCTTTACAACAAAGAAAACAAGCAAATAGCGAAATTAATAGCTTAGCTAACAAAAATATATGATATATTTCTAGAAAAGCATTTTCCTAAGATTCGCAGCGTATTTCAAATATTTACGAAAATTAAAAATATGTGCGGCACGTGCTAAGTAAACAAATGTATTGCCAAAATTCTGTGTTGAAAATCAATGCACATTTCACAATATGCGAGATCATTGAGATATATGTATATATCTGCAGATCGAACAGATCTAGACCAAGCCAAGGCGAATACCAAAATATCTTATCAAGCAAACACATTCAGAGCGTAACTGTGACTCTGCACTCGCTGATAAGAGAGATTGTGGGCTTATAGGAACTATGCCAAAGCGTAACCAAGGCCAGAAATACATTTTATACACATTCAAAGTGTTTGCCTAATTTGGTTTGTGTTCTAGACAAGAGCCAAGGCACATGGCGGGCGGCATTCTATGGAAATCGATTATGTAAACAATTGAGATACTTTTGTATCTCGAGACGGGCTGACCCGCATTAGCTCGAGCTAAGCAAATATACATTTATTTTCGGCATCGCACGCATTCCAGGCGAGCCATTGCGCAAAATTCACCTGATGCCATTAAATGCGCATTTGATTAAATGCGGCACGGGCCAGAAAGGGCAACAGATACCAAGATAGAGATAGAGATACAGATACAGATAAAAGTTGGAGCTGCGAATGATAAAACTAAACAAATGTACTAAATGTACATGTTCGTGTGATATTTGCTCCTAATTAATATTTGCATTTGGTTCGTTTTGTGATACATATTTAAAACGCAGTTGCACCTGCCTCTCGCATTAACCCAAAGGTGTATTGATACAAACCCTTTGATAACTAAGCCCCAAGCAATGCCAAATTAACACCACGTTTGCAGCCTGTGAAATGTGCGTGTGTGTACATACATAATAATCACTCGAGTTGTCTGCCGTCTGGATCGTGCTCTATTATTTAATATTTATGCCCTGTAATCAAAGAGGTCGAGAAAGGGTATGCACAATGCTTAAGCAGCAGCTGTGTTAATTGCACCCCACCTTAGCTTACCTTACCTTACCATAGTGAGGTTGACACTCATTTTTGTCTGCCGTTTGTAACTGTTAAAGAAATAATTCATTAAGCTTTGGGGGCGTCGCAGTGCGGCGGGAGAGTATATAGGTGTCATACAATCGAACTCTCAGATCGGTTTATATAACCAACCTGCAAAAGTCTAGCCTCTTTTGTTAGATTTAACTACGGAGCATTTTCGAGAAGGAGATCGAACTCTCACTTAACTACAGGGTATTTGCCTGTCGTGCACATTCACTCAAGTTCCCTCCGACTGGTTTGTATATAATTGCCCGCCATTGATTTCTCTTCTGGGGGTCGCTACGGGCACTTTTTTTTTAGTGGCGGCGCCAGTTAACATGACGGCGATGAATTTCACAAGAACTGCGACGCGGACTGAGCCAAAACGATTTCTGATAGCATCGTTATCTCCGCAAATTTCGCTCTCTCGAGTCTCGCTCTCTGTCTCTGGCACAGCGCGTGCCGCCAGCCGAGGGCGAAGTCAACTTTGAGTTTGAGTCTGATAAGAATTGTTATAAAAAACAATACGCAGCTCTTGTCTTGGGGGTTGTCGATCTCACGTTTTGTGTGTGTGTGTGTGTGTGTGTGCGGGGGTTGGGGGTACACTGTGGGGCGTCACCTGTTTGCGACATGTTCGAGCACGTTTCGCACTGGCAACGCGCAACTGTAAAAGCACCGTACGCCTTGCGCCTTTTTATTAATCGAACAACAGAAAACAAAAGCGCGAAAACAAAAATGTTATAAAATTCTTGCACATGTCGCCGCTGTCTGTTTGCTTACGCAAATCGTTGCGCATACGCAGCGTGTCGCGTGTCGCAGTTAACCGTTATGTATCGTGTTGAACCACCCAAAAAAAAAAAAAAAACACCACCCACCCACAATCAGGCAGGCAGGCAGCCCGCCAAACTGCGTCAATGTCGTAAAACTTTCTCACGTTATTCAAATTGAATTGTTTGTTATCCCGCAACGAATCTCGGGAGGCGAATCTCGTCGAGCTTATGTTCCCGTTTTGTTTTGTTTTGTTTTTTAGGGGTATTACGGGGCGTATTAATACGACTTAACGGCCGCATTTAAAAGCGAATGTTAACGTTTATGTCACGTTAAGCGTTTGTTTAATGAAGCTATACCGATTCTGCTTAATGAACCACATCGGGAAATTGCCAAAGGTATAGCTTATACTTAAACTAATATACATACATATATATCGGCTGAAAGCGTATACAAATCAGACTGATTTAACAAAGATTTCACCCACATATTCCGGGAATCGCATTAACCCACGTCTTGGGAAGCACACGGCCCAATCGCATGCCTTTCACATATTTATTATTATTGATTCAATTTCGAAGTCTATAAATATGTCGAATGCATGAGGGAATCTAAACAATTCAAATCGAGACCCGGCTGATATATAAACGTCAAATAACAATTAATGACGAAAGCAAATTCATGACGTCAAAGCAGCTTATCTGAGTTTTTAGCTATGCGTATTTAAATTTATAAATCGCATGCGTAATGCCACACACATGCATATATACATATATATATTTATATATGGGCATATTTGAATTTATCTAAAGTTTATAATTCCCTTGGACGAACTTTTCATGTTCTCAATTCTACGTTTTGCTTAATTAGGGTCTATTTAAATTATGCACATTTATTCTCGATCAGATGGCATTGGATTTTTTTATATTATCTACTAAAAACAATCGCATATCGTATACGATAAAGATATATCGTATTATAAAGGAAGAGATCCTTCACAGGGCTTATTTCTCTTTTATTCAATTAATCACAGCTCGAATACTTTATAGTAACTGAATCTTATTAACTTGACTGACAAGATTTATAAACAAAGATTTATAAGCGAAAAAATACGAGGATATATTTACTAAAATTTGTCGCCTATTATTTATAAAAACTTTTTATCTATTTAGCGCCAAGCTCATGCTTATACAAACAAATATTGACTAAAAATTATTGATAAATATAGAGCTAATAATTCGCAGCATTAGTTTTTCTTTCTGTAAATAATCTAGTTGCCCTTCAATTGATTAGACTAGGAATTTAATACAATTTTAAAGTTTATTAAAGTATTTTTGCTATGTTTCTTGCCTACATCTCCAACTTTCTTAAATAAGAGACCAAATTAATTGGGACTCCAGTCGGAGCATAGATCGATTACTTTTGCATCCAATTAAATGGGAATCCAGTTGGAGTATAGATTGATTACAATCGTATACAATTTAGAAGAGCTTAAGGGTTCCTCTGAAAGGGACTCCCCCTGTTGACCCTCCCAATAGCTGGACATGATTCCATTATAAGACATTTATGAATATATATATAGCAGCAAATACCTGAGCGTTGTTCTTTGGCAGTCAACGGGCTTGTTATATAAAAAAAAACCCTCCAACAGGTGTGTCAAGCGCCGCTTACCCCCGTCGCACCTGGCCCAAACTTGTAACGTCTTTTAGCTGCTATCAATGGCTGAATCTGCTTCTTGTAGGGCTTCCATGCGATGTGAGTCATTACATAAGCATATTGTTGCCAAGATACTTTGGACCTGGCCAAAAGGTATCTTCAGTTGAAAAGCAGGCATTCCTCGTTGCAAAATGTGTTCGCATACAGCTGTAACATTTTGTTTGGCCAATTGCGATTTGTGCTTATAAATATGGTTAGCAACTGTACTAAAATGATAGTCATTAATTAGGCTTATCGCAAACGTGATAAATGATAAACAGCATGTGACTAACACGCAGATCACGTTTTTCGCCAATGTTTTGCGTCTGGCAACAATTGTATATATTATTTGGCACACATAGGCCATACGATACCTAGGCAATATCAATAATAAGTAAAAAGTGCAAATATGGCAAATTACAAGACTCAAAACTCAACAACAACGCACTTGACTATGCACCTGAGTAATACGAGTAGCTGCCTATATTTAGTCAACTTCTGGGGGGGGGGGCTGTCCAATAGTTGTCTATTTTTACAAGCCAACAAGCCAATTGGCCGCAATAAAGATTAGTTTTGCCTTTTTACAAGCGATTTCTGTTAAATGTCATAACAAATGCATTCGGCGAAATGCCAGACACAGCCCGACTATTGCCCTAGCTGCTCATATCATCAGCTTATCAGTTATTGCTCGGCTTGTTATTAAAATGTCTCACGCCTCGAGCTTGAAGAGTTTCAAGGTGCCAAACAGACCCACTTTCTCGACGCTTATCTCTGGCCCACACACAATTTGTTCTCAGCAGGCGGGGCTGGCAGCCTGAGTTGCTGGCTAACAGAAATCGCATTCCTCATGTGACATATGTCATTTGCTGTGTGTGTTTAAGTACTTTGAGGAATGTACAAAAATAAACCGAACAGGTACCAAAAATAGCTTTGGCGCAGAGCTAAATTTAGACAAGGGCAAAAAAAAAGCCAGACAACTTCTGCATAAATAGCAAAAACAAATAAGAGCGCAATAACAAAGTCGCGGAAATTTTTGTATCAGCAATAATAGCACAAACACCTTCTACGCCTTATCAGACGGCGCAGTTCCGAAGAAAAACACAAAATATGAAGTGCGCAGAGCTAAAAGCCCAGTCGTGCCACGGGGGGAATCACCTGAACGCCATTTCCTTTTCTGCTCAACATTTAATAAGCTGGCGAAATACTTGAAGTACTTCCCACATTTAAGAGGAATCTATTTATTACCTGTGGCTAGGCTAGCAGCTTACCTATCGGGTTGATTGAGGCTGCCAACCACGGGTCAGCGGGTCAACGGGTCAGCGGGTCAACAGGTCAGCGGGTCATTAGGTACAGTTCGATTCCTATCTATCTTCACTAACTGCAAAAAGAAATTGTCTACAAGGGTTATATATAGATTAATATAAATAAAGTATACTTAATATACTTACTATCTGGCTTTTGTTTTTTTGCTTTAAGCTAAAAACTTTTAAACAAATTTATTGAAAATGGGTTTAGCACATTTCACGGCAGTTTAATTTGTCCAAATTTGTTTTAAAAAAACCATTGCAATTTTGTTCGTTTTTGGTTGCTTTTTGGGAATTATTTATTTAATATTCTTTGTGCACCCTGCAAGCATTTTGTTTTATGGTAATTAGGTTAAAATGAATAACCTTAAGCGATTAAAATGAAATTATCATTATTTTGTAGTATTTTTGAAAAATATAAATTTAATTTCTACAAGCTGCTGTTTAGTCAGTTTTGGTCATGAACGCAACTCAAGCGCTGAGAATATGTGTGCTTATTGTTTTAATGCTGATTTTGATACGAAGGTGCAAGGTATGAAAAGAAAGAAACAACAACAACAATTCACAATAGATGAAGCCAACTTCAAACTGAGCCTAGACATAAAGACAACTAAACAACCTGGATTCCGACTCAAGTGTGTGGCTGTTCTATATCCTGTACATATTTTGTATATGCTAATAGTATAAAGTTAGATTAACATATAACCAGATATATGGCATATATATCTGTTACAGATGGCCGCCTTTTGCAAGATGACAAATGCCGTTTGCGAATCGAGCAACAAATCTTGGGTTATTATCGACAAATGTCGCCTGCGTGCGATAAGTCGCAACAAGACGACCTTTAATGCGGATATCAACATACTGTATCCGGTTTACAATATTCACCTGAGACTGCAACTTATGAAGAAGGACAATGGCTATAAGCCCTGGCTCTTTAACTATACAATCGATGGCTGTGTGTTTATGCGCCAGCAGAGACATCCGGTTTTTAAAATGTTCTGGCTTATTTTGCGTGACTTCTCCACAATCAATCATACCTGCCCCTATCAGGTGAGTAAGTGTGTTCCAATTGTTAATTAACTAAACGTCTTACACAATAGGGCAATCAGATTGTCAAGGATTTCTACTACGATCCCACAAACCTGACGTTGCCTCTGCCAACTGGCGATTATTTGTTGCTCCTAACTTGGATTTTCGACAAGAAGCCGCAATTTGTAACGAACATATATTTCTCATTCTATCAGGATCTATTCTGAGATGGGCTAACAACATCTGTCCCAGTTAATCTCACAAAATATCTAAAATAGAAATTATGTTGATATTATCATAATAGCATTATATATGTTTTAATGTGTGCTGCGGCAATTAAATATGAATTATAAATATAAAAACGATTTATTTGACAATATATTGACCCTGCTGTCAGTCAATATCCAAACGTTGAGGCAATGAAACCGACATATTATCTGGATTCTTACGCAATGCTTTTGCTGTCAGCGTTCTTTGTGGATGCCGTCCATGTATTGAAATCTGTATATCCCCATATTGCCCAAGCATAACCAGCTCACATTCCAGGCCGCAGCCGTCTGCAAGATGACAAATGCCATTTGCGAGTCCAGAAACGAGTCGTGGGTCACCATCGAGAAGTGCCGATTGCGTGCAGTTAGCCGCACCAAGACCCCTCTAACCATTGAGGTAATGGTCCTTTATCCAGCCTATCAAATACACGTTAACGCCCAGCTGCTGAAGAAGGCCAACGGCTATAAGCCCTGGTTGGTTAACTATACGGCCGATGCTTGTGCGTTTATGCGCCGAGCCAATCATCCCTTTATAAAGATCATCTATGATTTGATCAAGGAGTATTCGACAATCAATCATACGTGCCCCTATGTGGTAAGTGCAGGGATTGTGCAACAATTTGAGCTTTACTAACGATTTCTGTGATAGGCCAGGCAGATGCTTAAGGACTTCATCGTTGATCCAGCCAAATTAATGCTACCATTGCCAAATGGAGAATATCTGCTGCTACTCACCTGGATGTTCAATAAAAAACCGCAGTTTGTGACGAATGTTTACTTTACATTTAGAGATTAACTTTAAGATGTAGGTGCTCCTAGTGCCTGCGCAGATCGAGTTTGTTTCGGATAATCGAGAACTTAATCCGTTTCCAAGCAATCGATAAAAATCGATATCGATATCCAGTTTTTTGGGCAATTTTGGTAAATAATAAGAGCTAGAGTCACCAAACTTGACATATAGCCTCTAAAATAGAATATATATATGCAATTGATGTTGGAAGAAGAGGGTTCAGGGTATTCCCTAGTCGGGAGCTCCCCACTAGAACCTATTACTGCCGTTTTAATATATGAAGATAAAATATACAACCACGAACCCAATTTCATATATTTAAATTGCTTTGAGTAATTTATAACTGAAATGCTTTTAATTGATGGTTTTTTTTTTTTTGAAGCTACATCAATGAATGCGACAATGAAACCATTAAAAAATCTGCTATTTATTGTGTGATCTTTTGGAAGCTGCTTTTTGAAAGAATACTTTTATATTCATACTCTTGCGATCTACTTTCAAGGGAAGAGGGATGCCAAGGTTTCCTGCTGTTTATACCTTTCTTCAGGATTTATTTAGATCTCTGAATAAAGCTATTAGCAAATGTCTGTATGGTGATCAGTTTTGCAAATTTGTGTGCGTAATCTATTATTATGGACTATTGAATTCTCAATTATTAAATTTCAACAAAATATAAAAATATCAACTTAAGGGCTACGCGATAATTATACACCAATTTGGTATCAGTCAGCAGTCAACCGTTGAGGCAATGAAACCTGCAATAAAACTAACAATTTGTCTGTCATTTGCGGTTGTGCTGCTCATAAAAGCTGTGCATGTATTTAAATCAATAATCACAAATTGGATCTGCAAAATTCGAAGTAACAAGTTCAAATTGCAGATGGCAGCCACGGTAAAGCTAACGAATGCCGTCTGCGAGACGAAAAACAAAACTTGGATCACCTTCGATCGTTGCCGACTGCGTGCGATAAATCGCAATAAAACAGTTTTGAATGTGGACGTGAACTTTCTACATCCGGTGCACACGGCAGACCTCAACTTTCGGATGCAGAAAAAGGCGAATGGCTATAAGCCCTGGTTGGGCGAATATACGGTCGATTTCTGCGCGTTTATGCGCAAATCCAATCATCCGGTTATCAAAATCCTTATTGGCATATTTAAGGACTTTTCAACACTCAACCACACGTGTCCCTATGTGGTCAGTAAATATTTCTTGCACACAGTCTTTACACTTCTTTGATCCACTCTCAATGCAGGGCAAGCAGATTCTTAAGGATTTTTACTGGGACCCCAGAGACTTAACGGTGCCTTTGCCAAGTGGTGAATACGCCGTGCTGCTTACTTGGATTTTCGATAAGAGGCCGCAGTTTGTAACGAAGGTTTACTTTACTTTCCATCAGGATATATTTAAGGACTAGTGCAATTACACGGCGTCACCCGAATTCCTTGTGTAATTCCCGCTAGCTTCGAACATACCCAAACTAAGACCTATCTATTGTAATCAATTTAAAGAACACAAACATTAAACAAGTAAGAGGTTCTAGTCGGGAGCTCCCGACTAGGGGATACCCTGAACCCTCTTCTTCCAACATCAAATATATATATATATATATATTCTATTTTAGAAGCTATATGTCAAGTTTGGTGACTCTAGCTCTTATTATTTACCAAAATAGCCCAAAAAACAGGATATCGATATCGATTTTTATCGATTGCTTCGAAACGGAGTAAATTATCGATTATCGGAAACAAACTCGATCTGCGCAAGCACTAGGAGCACCTACATCTAAAATTTCAAGCTGTCTCTAGCTCTTATAGGTTGTGAGATCTTTGCGTTCATGCATACGGACGGACGGGCGGATGGACGGACGGACAGACAGACGGACAGGGCTAGATCGACTCGGCTATTGATGCTGATCAAGAATGTATATACTTTATGGGGTCGGGAATGCTTCCTTCTGCCTGTTACATACATTTGGATTTTGCACAAATACAAATACAGGGTATAATGAACCCATTAAAATTGGGCATAAGGGTATAAAAAGCAAATGGATATAAGCCCAGCTTAGCTCATTATACGGTTGATAACTGCGCGTTTTTGCGTCAATTTAATCATCCTGTTGTCAAAATTGATCATGATGTTATCAAGAAGTATGCACAAAAGTATACAATGCTCAACCTCACGTGTCCCTTTGGCTGTCTGCCAGCCAAATTTTATGCAGCCAATCGTTCATAAGCCTACCTTACCTGAGACTTACCTGAGATCCTAAAAACATGTTATTGCCACGAAGCCCCATTGGCAACTACGTGTTGACTTTGTTTTTCGATGGGCTATAATTAATTTGCAATTAAAATCTATTCATGCATGTATTATGGATATTATGGATTATGGATTGTGTACTATTTAAATTCACAATTATTATAATCTGTTCAGTTCTAATGACAAATATAATTATAAGGGCATTTTTAATTTGTACACATGCATTTATAAACAGTCAACAATCAATCGCTGAGACAATGAAGCCAACGGTGAATCTGACGATTTGTGTGATAATTGTGGAAACTATCTTCATAAAAACTATCCACGTACTTGTTTGAGCACTCTCTATTTGCATTGAAAAACGAGTTCAAATTCCAGATGGCAGCCACAGTAAAGTTGACGAACGCAGTTTGCGAAACGAAAAACAAAACCTGGGTTACCTTCGATCTGTGCCGGCTGCGTGCGATTAGTCGCAACAAAACAGTTTTGAACATGGAGATAAACCTTTTGCAGCCGGTGCATGTCGTCGACTTAAACTTTCGGATGCAGAAAAGGGCAAATGGCTATAAGCCCTGGCTGGGCCAGTATACGGTTGATTTCTGTGCATTTATTCGCAAGGTCAATCATCCTGTCATTAAGATTTATTATGATATTATCAAAAGTTATACAACCCTCAACCACACTTGTCCCTACATGGTAAATGGTAGCTGATCTGAAAGCCTATCAAAATACATCTGTGAATAACCTTCAATACAGGGCAAGCAGATTGTTAAGGACTTCTTCTGGGATCCTAGGAACTTAACGGTGCCTTTGCCAAGTGGGGATTACATGGTGCTCCTAACCTGGATTTTCGATAAGAGACCGCAGGCTTCAACGAATTTTTACTTTACGTTCCGTCAGGATTTATTCAAAGATTAAGACATTTTGTGTCTTCATATATATCTGCATATATTTATGTATTATTTGTACATTTGCAAATACGATGCAAATTGTTGGTATATACATATAAGTATTCAACAACTTTTCATATATCTGACAGATTTTATAGCTTAAGTGACTATTTATTATTTCAAGCAAACTTGAAATGGATCTTTCTTTAGCGAATAAATAACAGAATCAACTTATTCTGTGATATTTGTGGCAGTTCACTTCATGAAAACTTTAATATAAAATTTTGATGTGCATTTGGTAAAACTAGGTTCAATTCCCAATAGTCGCGATTCCAAAAATACAACTTGCTATTTATGCTATTATATTATAATAGCTTGTGCTCTTTCAAATATATAAATATTTAAACACAGCCATCAGTTCCGCGCTGATCACTAATCAATCAGTTTTCAATTTATATATATATATAAATATTACCAAAAGAAAAAAAAAACATATTCGTATTTTTACAAAATTACTTTTTTAATTTTGGGAATTTTATACTGAGTTTTGAATTCGAATACAGCTTGTATTGAATCATAATGCACCGTAAAGTTCTTTTCCGATCGTCGATAACTCGTCTCGTTGCCAAGCAATCGATATATATCGAAATCGAACTCCTGTTTTTTTAAGCAAATCTCAAGCTAGAATCGAAAATTTGACTTGAGGCTTCTAATAGAGTATATACTGATCATGATAAGGTATGAGAATACGACAAGTAGTTCGATTGGTTAAATGTGGTTCTTAGGTCGATATCCTTTTAGCTATTATATTGACGCAAACTATGTGTTTTGTACAGGGTTCAGGGCATCCCCTAGTCGGGCACTCCCCTCAAGAGGACTCTATTTTTGGTATATGCCATTATTAAGTATTATTATAATAATAGCCTGTAGAGCCAATTGGGAACACCAATTTTAGGGTATTTCGCCCAGTGTATACATATATATATATATAAACTTATATATATATGGTGTACTATATATAGTAGCTGTCGGAAGTCAACAGTTGGGACAATGAAGCCTACAGTAAAACAGACTATTTGCGCTATATTTGTGGCGGTGTTCGCCATAAAAACCGTACAGGTATTCAAATAATTTCTTTGGTAATTGACGTCTTCCAATATGGTATACAAAATTCAAATTCCAGATGATAACCACCGTCAAAATGACCAATGTTATTTGCGAGTCCCAAAACAAAAGTTGGGTCACCTTCGATCTGTGCAGACTGCGTGCGATTAGTCGCAACAAGACTGTTTGTAATGTTATCTTAAACCTTCATAATCCAGTCCGATCGGCTACCCTAGTTTGGCAGATGCTGAAAAGGGAAAGTGGATACAAGCCCTGGCTGGGCCGCTATACGATTGATGTCTGCGGGTTTCTGCGTAAGACCAATCACCCTGTAATGAAAATGTTTTGGGATGAAATCAAGGACTATATTGACTTCAATCATCCGTGTCCCATGGAGGTGAGCGACAAAATATTAAACGTTTCTTATATGTAAAGTGTTTTATTCATTTAATCTCTTCGCAGGGCAAACTGACAGTAAAGGATTTCTTTTGGGATGCCAGAAATTTTTCGTTGCCTTATCCCACTGGGGATTATATGCTGCACCAAACTTGGCTTTTCGATAAGAAGCAGCAGTTTGTTATAAAAATGTACTTTACATTCAATCAGGATTTATTCTTTGATTTCCAGCACTAAGCAATGACTTTTTGCTGATACTTGCATCGATTTTTGGTAAGAATACATAACATCAGAATATATTTCAAGTAGAATACATAAAATTTTTAATTGGTTTATGCTATGGAAACTACTTCAATTATGACGATAACAACTATTGTTATTGATTATGCTATTAAATACATAATTATTAAATAGTTTTTTATATTTAGATGACAACAATAACTATGAACGTAGGCTTCACCGATTAGTGTAGAATGATTTATTAGAGTGCAGTCAGAAATCAGCCGTTGCGACAATGAAAACAAAATAAAACCGAAATTTGCTGTGCTACTTTTTTCCGTGTTCCTCATAAGAACTGTTCAGGTATTCAACTATCAAATCTCGATTTGCATTTGCACAATTTGGAATAACTCGGTCCAATTGCAGATGGGAGGCACTGTTAAGTTCACGAATGCCATTTGCGATTCCAAAAACACAACTTGCGTTAACTTCGATCTGTGCCGGCTGCGTGCGATAAGTCGCAACAAGACTGTTCTGAACGTCTACACAAATATTCTTTATCCAGCCTATAATGTACATCTCAACTTTCAGATGCAGAAGAGGGCAAACGGGTACAAGCCCTGGATGGGCAAGCGTACGGTTGACTACTGTGCGTTTATGCGCAAAGTCAACCATCCTGTTATCAAATTTTATTATAATTTAATCAAGGACTTCACATCGTTCAACCATACGTGTCCCTTTGTCGTAGGTAGAGATCTCTCTTGGCACAGTCAATTGGTAATGTTGTCGTCATCTATTTTCAATGCAGGGCAAGCAGATTGTTAAGGATTTCTTCTGGGACCCAACAGATTTCCTGTTGCCTTTTCCCAGCGGGGACTACGCCCTGCTCCTAACTTGGATGTTCGACAAGAGGCCGCAGGTTATAACGAAGTTCTACTTTACGTTTCGTCAGGATTTGTTCAAAGATTAACATATCTCCTCTGGCTATTATGCCATTATAATAGCTTGTGTACTCTTTTATATATATATATGTTTGTTTGTTTCTTATTGTAGAAATCGTTTACGTATTTAAATGAAGTATTGAACCATTTGCGAGTCAGCAATTAAATTTTAACGGGCTTAGACTCTGCCCTGATCACCAATCAACTGACAATTAAGGATTTGTTCTTCGATGCCAGACGTTTTGCCTTCTGCCTTCGTTTTTCGATAAGAGGCAGCAGTATTACCTAAAATTTGACTTTACTCTACATCAGGACTTTTTTAAAGAATAACCAGCAGCAGTAAAACATGTCGTTGACCAAATTAGTTTGAAATAAATATGTAAATCTCAAATTAAAAACAAAGGAACTTAAATGATGTGTAAATATCAATTACTTGTGGCAGCGAAATACCCAATTCAGTAAATAATTAAATCATTTTATGCTTGTTGAGCAAGTTATTTATAGAGCTCATTATATTTAACTACGCACAAAAATCTATTTCTATACACGTGCTCCTGCAAGTATGCGAATATTAACTATTATTATTATTATTGATTTTGTGCTATTAAGTCGGTTAATTTTTAATAATATCGCCCGTGTAATGGGTAAATAATTATGATTTTGCGGTTTTTGCGAATAGTTTATAATCACAATTTTGCAGTCATAATTCAACAGTTGAGACAATGAAGCCCACCGAAAAGCTGACTCTTTGCGTGATCTTTATGGGCGTACTCTTCACAAGCACCGTACACGTATTTAAATGAAATCTTTGCCATTTAGATTGCATAATCAGAAACAAAACAATATCTAATTTCTAGATGATAACCACCGTCAAGTTCACCAATGCCATTTGCGAGTCCAGAAATATATCTTGGGTCGTCGTCAATGGATGTCGCCTGCGTGCGATTAGCCGCAACAAGACGGTTTTGAGCACCGACATCAGCCTTCTCTATCCGGTTTACAACTTGCACCTTAACTTTAAGATGCAGAAAAGGGCCAATGGATATAAGCCCTGGTTGGGCGAGTACACGGTTGATTTCTGTGCATTTATGCGCAAAACGAATCATCCGGTTATTAAAATATTTTGGAATTTGAGCAAAGATTTTACTAACTTCGACCATCCCTGCCCCTTTGAGGTGAGTGGCCTTAGGTAATTATATAAAAACATATTTGATATTGAAAAATCATCTGCCTACAGGGCCGACTGACCATAAAGGATTTGTTCTGGGACGCCAGAAACTTTTCGCTGCCTTTTCCCAGCGGCGATTATTTGCTGTATCTAACTTGGATTTTCGATGGGAAGCCGCACTACATAGCAAAAGTCTACTTTACTTTCTATCAGGATTTATTTAAAGAATAACTATATTCATGTTTCGGAGCAGCAGTAAATATGCGTTTAGCAATGTCATTCAAAAAATGGATCGAAATATATATAACAAAATCTCAACATAAATATCTATTTATATACGAGTACTCTTACAAGTATGTCAGTTTTAACTATTATCATTGATTGTGGCCGCACATATTTAATAACTTCGGCAATTTAATGGCACAACAATTATGATTTTGAGGTTTTATCAGATAGTTTATATCCATGTTGCAGCAGTCATAACTCAACAGTTGAGACAATGAAGCCTACACTAACGCTGACTATTCATGTAATATTTGTGGGGCTGCTCTCCATAAAAGCCGTGCAGGTATTCAAATAATATAAAGATATTATACGTGATATCTTGTAATTAAACATAATTAATTCAAATTCCAGATGATAGCTACCGTCAAATGGACCAATGTCATTTGCCAGTCCAGAAACACAACTTGGGTTACCTTCGATAAGTGCCGACTGCGTGCGATCAGTCGCAACAAGACAGTTCTCAACATTGACATTAATGTTCATTTTCCAGCCCGATCGATAACTCTATATTGGCAGATGCAGAAAAGGGAAAATGGCTATAAGCCCTGGCTGGGCCGCTATACGATCGATTACTGCGCGTTTCTGCGTAAGTCTAACCATCCTGTAATGAAAATATTTTGGGATGTAATCAAGGAGTCCATAAACTTTAATCATCCGTGTCCCATAGATGTGAGTGACAAAATACTATAGATAAGATGTTTTTATACATTGAATCTCTTTGCAGGGCTTACTGATAATAAAGGATTTGTTCTGGGATGCCAGAAATTTTTCTCTGCCTCTTCCCAGTGGCGATTACATGCTGCATCTCACTTGGCTTTTTGATAAGCGGCAGCAGTATTTCCAAAAGATTTACTTTACTTTCCATCAGGATTTGTTTAAGGAATAACTTATGGCTAAAATTCCATTTTATGAATATGGTATAGTCTGAGCCAAGGGCCATGGCTTTCAATTAACCTAATAGATGTTTACTTGATCTTCTATCAGTTTTGATTATTTATAGTTTTCCCAAACGTGCTGTCATTATTAACTGATTGGTAATTGCGGCCAAAACAATTGTAATTTCGGCACAATCAAATAAAATTGCTTAAATATTTATATTATTAAACATTAGCAATTGTTCAAGCGATACGCACTTTGGCTGCAAATCATTTGAAATCAATGAGGTCAATTTGGTTAAGGTTCATTTGCGAGTCCAGTTTCAGCTCGTGTACAATACATTTATGCTTCTTCTTATATTTAATTGTAATAATTTAATTCCTATTTAATTGTAATTATTCATCTTATTATCAACTATCCATATTCCATATCCATATGCTATTTGTCCTTTAAATATTCCTAAAATATTCCTGTTTCATTATAATGTTTTAATTACTTAGCTAAACACTCGTTAGGGCTGCCCAACTAGCAGATATGTCTTTATAGAATATTTAAGGGTAACATTTGTACATGAATTTTGACCAAAAATAATGTTACCAGATTTAGATGCCAAATTGTTTTAGAGCCCAAGCCATGAACAAAAAGCCAAGGGGGGGATTGGGAAATTTTGACCTATGTCTAGGCCAGACTGTATATATAAATACATACATAAATATAGATATAAATATATGTATATATATAAATATTTATAAGCACAAAGCCTAAGCAACTCATTTTCGCAACATTTTCAATAGGTTCTAGGGTATAAAAAGCCAACATTATATCGATTGACATTTGCCAGACTGTAACTGAAACTGAACCAGAAATATAACTGCGCATTTGATGTGGCCAATGTCAGGAATATGGCCTGAAGGCCAACTTATCAGACGTAACCCCATTTGGGGTTCAGACAGCAGACAGCAGACAGCAGTATTTCATTGTGCGTCCTCTTGCATCAGCCAATTTATCATTTGGGCCAATCGATGCGATTAGCAATCAAATTGGCATTTGATTAGCTCGTCTCGGCCAGCTGGAGTACAAAGTGCGGCTAACAACTGTTGCAACATTTCTTTAAATGGCCTGAAATATTTGTGTAGGCGTGATTCACGCAGCAAGTACTTTGCTCTCAAAGATGATGCAGAGTGCGAACGGAAGTGGCCTAATGACTGATAAGACTGATAGACTTCGTCTTATCAGTGACTGCAGCCTCTTGTCGGATGTGTCTATGACCATATATGGGTAGGCCTTACAGCTGGGCATCTCACGGCAGTTAGTCATTAGCCGACAAGCACGCGCTTTGCCGGCCGATTACTCATACGCCACGTAATCGCGGCGCTGCCTATCGCAGCCCAGTTAAATGATATGGCTGTGTTTTTTTATTTTACCGTTCCATTGTTACGCTAGGTCAGTTAATAGCGGGCTAGCTAGCGGGCAGACTTTGAGATCTGGTCTGTATGCTAATTGAATTTGTAGGTGTCGATATATGCCGATTTATTGTCGTCGCATAAGCATACGAAATTTATACGCTTCGCGGTTTTTATTTTTTAGTTTTACCTGCCCCGCACGGTACGGCAAGTGCCGCACCTCTATAACGGATCTCTCGCATCTTAATTGCATATGAGATACATCTGCTGGCTGCTCTAGTTACGACTCAAGTTGCGCATTTTATGCGCATTTTGATGGGATCGTGCCGCCGCCAAACTGGCGACAATATCCATGCCCATTTGCATGGGAACGTTCTATAACTGTTCATTGGGGCAACTTCCTTTGTCTGCGGCCAAATGATAAGAGGAAACAAATCACAAATTTATACCTGGACGCTGACGAAGATTTAATGCACTTGCCAATGGCAGATACAGAGGTAATGGCAGATATAAAGGCAGATATTGCCATTTATATACGCCAGACATATACATTTGCTTATCATCTGTAATATGACTTTGCTTTCGCAGGACAGCTTGATGTTATAGCCATCTGATGCCAATGTGCCCAATAGGTACCCATCTAATAGCAAGAGCAAGAGCTCATGCCAAGTTTCACAGGAACTCGCAGCCATTGGCTAGGGTATGAGAAAAGAAAAACTTCAAATTCAAAATACAAAATGAAAATTTACTTTGATTTTTGCGTTGTTTCTCAACTGAATGCATTTAAAACTTACAAAGTATTCGTGAATCGCCTAACGCTACAGGTGTACGAGTATGAGTATGAGTACGAGTATATGAGTACGAGTATATGAGCATATGAGTACGAGTATATGAGCATATGAGTATGTGATTGCGTGAATGTGAATGGGTACGAGTATTTAAGTCTAATGCATACAAATTGGAATTGAATTTTGATGAATTGTGCAAAAACTGAACAAAATATTCAAAGCGTGCGAATGTTTCGGTATCCGTGTTCAATGGGTACATGGTATCAGATTGGAATTCTTCAGGTTGGCCAGACGCAGCTGCTCCAAGGCAATCTCATGCGCCTTTAAGTGCTCGCGTGTCGCCTGCTCCAGTTCGCTGAGCCCGGTGGAGCTCTTTATGGTTGCGGCGGAGGATGAGGCGCTGGAGGCGCTGGCGCTGGAGGAGATGGAGTTGGCTGACAGCTGCGAATTGCTAATGGTCTTCACCAGCGCCTGCGGCTGCTGAACGTAACGCACCAAAAAGGGATTGTGCGCATGCTCGGCCAGCACATAGGGCTTAGAGATGGGCACGGACGGACTGATGGGCTGACTTGGCTGGCCGGACTGAATGCGCAGGAAGAAGCCATTCTGGACCTGTTGCTGCTGCGCGATATGCTGAGGCTGGGCGGGCTGTGGCTGTTGCTGCGCCGGTGCCGAGGGCTGGGCAATGAACTTAAGGCTGCTGCTCGGCTGCTCCGCGGGCGTCGGCTCAAAGGTATTGGCGATCTTCAGCTGCTGCTGCAGCTCCAGGCGCTCGGCCTGCAGACGCTGCGACTCCTCGAGGCGTTCGCTTTCGATGCGCTGCCGTTCCTGCTGCTGCAGTGCCAGGCGCTCGGCATCGAGCAGGCGCTGCTCCTCCATTAGTCGCTGTAGCTCACGCTGACGCTCCAGCTCGAGCAGTCTGAGCTCCTCACGACGCTCCTGCTCCAGCTCGCGTTCCGCATCCCGATCGCGCTCCTCGTAGCGTATCTTGTCCGAAATGTCAGCGACCTTATCCTCGGCCGTCAGCTTGGCTTGACTTAGCTGCTGAATCTGCTGCTCATGCAACTTGATGCTTTGAACGTAGCCGGAAGAGTTTGGAATGGCGGCCTTAAGGGCGGCTTGTGGCAGAGAGGGTGTTGCAATGTATTCCTGCTGGGGCTGTGCCTGTGCCTCGGCCGCATGGCGCAGGATTACCTCGTTATATTGCTTCAGGTGCTCCTCACGGGCGCGTTTCACCTCGGGCGTCTCCTCGACGGGCTGCGGCACCTGCTGCTGCTGTTCAATGGGCTGAACGGGTATGGTCTTGACGAGTTGCTCCTGATTCTGTTGCTCTGCGGGCTGCAGCTGCTGCTGCAGTGCCTCGTTGTAGCGCTTCAGATGCTCTTCGCGAGCGCGCAGCACCTCGGCTGTCTCCTGCACGGGTTGGGGTGTTTCCAAGGGAGCATAGCTCTGCGGCTCGGTTTGCTTGAGCTGCGGCTGCTGCTCCCAGCTGGCGGCAACGGGCAGCGGAGTCTTAGTTTGCACGGTCTTCAACTGGATGACGGCATCCTTGGACGCTTCAGCTTGCGGCACCGTCGACTCAGCTTGCAGCACCTGGAGACGCGCCTCGTTCCAAATGCGCAGATGCTCATCGCGTGCGCGCTGCACCTCCGGACTGAGACCTGGCACCGCATCGAAGGCGTTCGTCTTGATAATCTGCTCCAGCGGCTCGTACTGTGCCAGCATATTGGCCGACGGCTGTTTGCCCTCGGCGCGCAGGCGCTCCAGCTCTGCACGCAGGGCATTATAGCGCTGCTCGCACCAGGCGCGGAAGAGCGCCAAATGCTGCTGCTGCTGCTCCAGTTGATCCTGGACCTTCACCTGCTGATCAATGCTGCGTATGCCGTAGAGTGGCTCCGGATAATTGAAGGCAATCAGACGCTCGGCGCCCGTGGTGTCCAGATAGCGCATATAGCCCTGAGCCAGTTGGCTCTGGACAGGAAACTCACCGCGCGCCGGCGCATAGGCCAAGAGATTGTTGCGGTAGCCAATGGAGTGCGCGTGCGCGCCCAGCGCCAGGAGACTGAGCAACAGCAGACGCATCTTGCTGGATTACTTGGGATCGGGCTTGTATATAGAAATCGTAGACTTGTAGGACTTTTGGCGCAAACAAACCAAAACTTCGCTACAACTTCGGCGACTACTCGAGGAAGACTGTTGCGGTTCTGGGCTGAGCTCTGGGCTTTTTATAGTCGAGAACCAGGCAACAGCCTGACGCTGTCCTTGGGCTGACCCTGTTCAGTCAGTTTGAGGATGCGCCAATAAATATTTTCTTAACTCAGGTCCACGACTCGCCACAACACAGATATCGCATCTCAGTTTCCAGGTCTCAGTTTCGCGTGCTGCTTATCTCCCGGCCTGGCTGTGTGTTCTGGCCGTTAATTGCCAGCCCCATCCTGTTGTCGCGTCCAGTTGGTTCTGCCGTTATGCGGCCCGTTCCATTCACTAGCCGCTGCCTCAAGGTCGAGCCTGGTATATTTTTAGTCCAGGCGCTGTCAATGTTATGGACCAATGCATAAATTAAATACCGCAAAGGGCAGACAGCTGCTAACTGGCCCATTGGCTCGATCCCGGATCGATTTATCAACCGCCTCCTCTCCCGCCATATATGCCCTTTGGCATCCCCATTTAAGTGCGACTGACATTTGTCAAAATATCAATTGACTGCAGCCAATTCCCAACCGCCAGCTGGAGACCCAAATATGGCGTGCACTTATTTTTAGCCGGAACTGTTGTACAGTCGCCGCCTGGACGCGCCTGCATGACGGCAAATGCGATGCGACTGGACATGAACCTGGCTTGGGATCAAGTTTATTAAGGCTGGAAGAGGGGTGGGTTGCAGAAATTGGCCGAGGGCTCAACCGGTTGCCAGCATTTGCGGCATTTAATAATAAATTCAAGTTAATTTCAGTCGGCGCCGTTATATGGGCAATTCACAGACTTATATGCCATACACACACACACACACGCACATGCCATATATACAAGATGTACACAGGCAAGGAAATTTACCATCAGTGTAATAAAACAATAAATAAATATGCAAATTAAATTATTGCTCAGGAATGTCTGAAAATCAATTGGAAATTTTTGAAGTGTGTGTAAAAGTGTTTGTTAATGCACGATTTCAAGGCAGCTGCCGTTGACAGCAGCTGTTAACTGCAATTTTGACATGCACTTATTATAATAATTATTATAATTTATTCAATTATCATTATAGCCAAAAGAGGCTCGCTTTGCTATGATAATACGCAAAACCAATTTATATACACACATATTATATAGTACATTTCTTGCTAGTATTGGAATTCTTACTAGAGGTGCGAGTTTAGACACCTATTGGGTTTATTAGAGGTGTAAGGTATAAATATTGTTACATTTGCCTCAATATATTGCTATAAAAAAGTGTATTGTATTGTGCTTGGATACAAAACAGCAAAAGCACAGCAAAAAGTCACATGAAGTGGCAATAAAAAAAAAATAGATATATACATATTTTTGAAAATAAATCAAGAACTGGCATATTATGAAATATTAAAAATATTATTTCAAATTTTAGGCAATACAAATGGCATAAAATTCAGAGTTTTCCAAACAAAATGTCTAATTAATTATATAAATAATTAATTTTACGCTTAAAATCATTTATATAATTTTTTTAACCAATGCAGCTAACAAATAAGTGTTAAGTTTTGGGAGTTTTTATTTAAAAATATAAATAAAAAAAATGTTAAAATATTAATTCTGGTCATAAAATGTTTAATTCATGAAGCTAACTAATTATCAAGTGTATAATTAGGAGATTTTTTTATTGCACAAAGAAAACTCTTATTAATTAATTACAAAAATTAATTCCAGTCTAAAGATCAATTAAATACATTTTAATTAACATATTTTTTTATTGGAAGAATTTTTGCTAATTCTTTATTTTAAAAATTAATTCTGGTCATATTAACTTAATTATTAACATTTTCATGATTATTAAGATTTCATTTCCACTTAGAGGAATACGGACTTTATGCAACCAGAGCTTTCCTTCCCCCCCCCCCCCCTCCCCCCCTCCCACACACGCCCTGTTGCCCACCTAATAGGGAAAGCAATGTAGAGCATTTAACACTCGATGAGACATGCCAGGGACAATCCTAGGCTACGCTGCTCATCACATGCCACATGGCACGTATTGTCACAAGGCGCCGGCTCTTAACACTTTCCAGTGAAAAAGCTGACAAGGCAAGGGCGAACATTGTAATACACCTTAGTACACTCAGGTGTACAGTTTTTACAGCTCATCACGCAAGTCAAGAAAGAAATAATACCTCTTTTTTATTTGTGGGTCACTTTCACGAGAAGATTTCATAACCGGGCGGAGGCATTGCGGAACGCTTTTAGAAATCTTGTTGCCAAGCGTTAAGCATCTAGTATAGATATTATTTATGGGCATTTTGTATATGAACTGACCACAGTCACGCCGGCAGCGACGTCGACAGCGACGTCACATGAGCGCCAGTGTCTGGACCCGGGAACAGATGCCGAGCTGCCCGTCAATTTTTGTTTTATTTATTTATTATTATACATACTTTCGTCTACTTGCGTCAGGCGCACAATTTATTTTAATTTTTCTGTTGTCCACGCGCTCTAATAAAAATATGAAAAAAAAACTAAATGGAAACGGAGGCACGTCCCGTTTAATTAGAGCAGCGGTTACTGGGTCCCAAGCACGTTATTTCTTATCTTATCGGGCGCATAAAGCACTTCGATTAGCCGGGCAAATGCTCTGCGAGTATGTGTGTGTGTGTGTGTGTGTGTGTGCTCCGGCAAATGTACGATGTGTGCACGGCAACAGGCGTTAATTACATTTAATTAACGCACGCATCCGATTCATTAAGATGTCTGCTCACAAAAACCACGCCATAAATGCCAAAAAGGAGGAACACATTTTTTTTTTGTGACATTTTAAGATGTTTTTCCTGTTGCCGTTGCCGCAGCTTGTAAACCAAATACAACAACAACAACAATACAGCCCCTTCTCGCCATCAAACATAGCAACAAATTTATGTAAATCATTTCGGACGAATTTCATGACAAGGCAAGAGCTAATGGCCAATAAACGTACTTGAACCGGGCCGATTTCAAAAATTCCGAAATATACAAAAAATCAAGCTTTCGGCCACGTTGTTTGCATCACGTGCAACAAAAGCCAAATATTAGTGTTGACGCATATATAATATGAAGAGCCGAAAAGAAACAAAAAAAAAAAACCCAGTCTCCACTTTAGACCCAGTGCCAAGTTCCAGTTTCGACGTCATAGTGCGGAACTTTGTGAGCTGCAGCTGCGTGCAAATTAATTTAAAAATTCAATTCAAAGAGTCGCTCCCGCCCCCGCTCACCCCCCTCATTATTGACTCAATTCAATAAAAACAGACACACTCTAGTCGTGTGCGTTGCGACGCCATAAATACCCTGTAACTAAAGTATCCTCAACTCATCTTCTCCAGCATATAAGCTGTCTCTTTGTCAATCTCTTTTTATATAAAGCTACATATGTGTATAGTCAAGACTTTATCTTTCTGCTTGAAGCTGCTCTTCCTCTGCCTTGCCATATACCCTCTTCTTAATTAGTACAGGGTATGCGTAACATTTACAAACTGCGCTTCAATGAAATATTTGGTGAATGGTTAAAAAAGCCGCGTCAGCAAAAATGTTTTCCCGCAAATGATTTATTGGTCAAAATGCCCAAAAATTTGCTAAGCTGCTTATTTGGGATTTAACTTCAGGCTAAATGTGGCTAATAAATGGTTGTGCCCGGGGGGGGGGTTGAGTTGGATTAATAATTTGTCTCCCAAAGCTATATTTAAAAAATTTCATATTTTTGCACATTTCAGCATTTGTTTTGCATGGCTTTCATTTTAAAAATAAATACTTATATATATATTTAAAAACAAAGCTCAGTACAATTTTGGGCTCGATTTCAACGCCAAGGCCATTTATTTTCACGCACAAAATATTCTTTTTATAAAGCTTGCGATAAAGCTGTTGTTAGTGCCGGGCTGCCGCCATGGTAGCATTTACGTCATTTGTTGAAATTTCTTGAAATTTGTTCGGTTACCAAAATTGACAAGAAACTCGTTTCGCCCAATTGGGAAGTTCCCCCCACAAACAACAACATTGAAGCATGCTCCAATTGGCCCCAGCCGGGCTTGACTTGACTGCCGGCCAGTAGCCAGTAGATATTAGCCACTGGCAAATGTTTTCGCAGTTCCGTTTCATGTTCAAGCGTACAAAAGCAATTACTAAATAAATACATCAATTAGAGCGCCAACGCACGGTGACCTACACGACGCCAAGCATCGAGCACTTGTCAAGTGCAGCTGCCAAACACTGCGCAAAAAGAACGGAGTCAAGTTTTATAACTGGCTTGTAGAGGATATTATGATTTGGTCAAGCTTAAAGGATCTCTTCATCAGACTTCCATAAAATGTGTCTGCCATTTAGCACCTTTAAGCCATAAGTCTAAGAGTTAACAGGTTCGTTGCAGCATCCATTTAAATGTTAACAAATTGATTTCAGGCTATTTCGCTCAGTGTACTTAACAGTCACATCAATAAGCTGCAATCGCAGACAGTCGCTAAATGAATTTGCATTCGTAATTAAGGCCATGTGAAGCTGAGATTTTGGGACGTTCTATGAGTTTTGCATTGAATTGAGTTGTCTATGCTCGGGCAGACGCTCACCTGTTGCCCGATCAATCAGATTTAGAGTCGGGCTCGACAAATGCGACCTCAGTTTAATAATAATTTGCCAGCCTAAACGCGTAATTAATGACGCGTTTCTTGTCTTCTCTCACAAATATATTAAACATGTTTATTAACTCGTATTTATTGTTGTTGTTGTTGTTGTTATTGTATTTACGCGTTTAACTGCGCCCGTCGCGCCATCTGTCCAATCTGTCAACTGTTTCGGATCTGCTGGCTCACAATACTCGAAATTATTTCTTATTTTTATACTCTTGATATTTGACAATTTAATTGGCTTAAAGTCAATTA